GAAATGAGACTCATAGAAATGACGCCCCTGAAAGACACCAGACCAGCGGCCACGGAGTCACTGGCACTCATGGGCCTCCATGGGCTAGACTCGCACTGTGCTTCATGGTCGTCGAGTTTTAAGTGGCTGTTTTCTTGTGAAAGTAAAACCACCAGGCCTTTCCTCGGAGGTGGCTCTGAGTGGATTCAAGCTACCAGCTTTTCGGTTACCAGCTGAGCACTGACTTGCTGGTGCCACCCCAGGAAGACGCTGGCAGGCGCTCAGCATCTCCATCAAGACCACTCTGATTCAGAGCTGCCGTGGGAGACAGAAAAGAACCACCCAACCCAGTTTCCACGGCTGCGAATCTTGGCAGAAGCAGATTCCCACATCTGTCTGCCTCAACACACCTGGTGGTTCAGAGCACTGACCTTCTGACTTCTGACTAGCAGCGGAGGGCTTCCCCACGGCAACACCGGCCCCCTTTCTGGAAAGCACCAAAATCAAGCCCTGTGCCCTGGAGTCAATTCCAACTGATATCATCCTTAGAGGACACGGTGGAACTGCTCCTTCGGCAGTTCCAGGAGCATAGGGAAGCAAACACCATACATATATATGACTGTCTATACGGCCAATGAACCACAAAGAGCAGTCTGTCCACAAGGTCAGGAGATCATAAGAGTTCAAAGTCGTGAGCGGCCCATTTGGATGACAGTCCTAGCGACTGCTCATTGAGAGCCTGCCATGCGCGAGGCTCGGGGCTGGGGACTCCACAGACAGGCCAGCCAGGGGAGTGTTCATCCATCCACAGGTGACAACGTCAGGTGAGAGAGGCTGAGCAAATTGTTCCAAGTGAGACAGCTTCAAAGTGGCAGAGCAGGACCCAAAGAGGAGCTCTCCCTGCCCTTGAAGCCCGAGCAGGGGGTGGTGCCGGGTAGCATGGCGATGGATTTGGAGACATGCATGTACATCAATTGGGGAAGCAGCAAATGGGTGCTGAGGAGCCTTGAAACCACTAACTGCGTTACAAGCCACCCAACAGTGACAGGAAACTGAGAGTCGAGTTGTTGAAGAACTATTTTTTCTGCTCTCTGTATCGGTGAATATAGAAAAATAAGATGTACCTCCGTTGGGTTGCTGCAAAAATTTTAGACACTTAGTATGTGTGTCAGCATAAAGCGGTGCCCCACAGGGCTTTCTATGGCTGCCACTGACCACAATATTGTAGGTTCAAGTCCACACGGGGCTGCCTCAGTAGAAAGGCTTGCTGATCCAGTTCCGAAAATTATCACCGATAACAGAAGTTGAGGTTCATTAGTTTCTATGAAATCTGAGCCTTGCCTCTGGAGCTAGCGATGAAATTATGCCCTTTCTACCATGCCCAGCTGCCTTCTTTACAAGCTGAATTGTACCTTCAATGATGTGTATTTAAAGCAAAAGTTCTAAGGTAGAGTCACAGAAGGACAAGTGGACGAGGGGGTTAAGGCAGGAGGGGAGGGTGAGCCTCAATCCTGGAGTGCGGAAACCTGCTAGGCCCTTGCCACCTGGAATGGGAACCGATTTTGCTAGAACTTTTTTTTTATTTTTGAATTGCCTTAATTATTAAATTGTTACCTTAGGCCAAGCAAACCCATGGTGACTGTTTAGCCTCCTGGCTGCCTGTCTGTGATCTCTTCTTGAAAGTAACCTTTAAAGTAAATTGCAGGCAAAACATATCATGACAGTAGACACTGCATTGCGGAATCAGATTGAATGCTGGAAAGCCTGGGGACTTGGTGCTATGATGAAGCCTCGTTAACAGACAGGGGAACAACGAAGAGGTGGGAGGGGATGGGGGGGGCGGTGTTGAAGAACTTGCCCAAGTTAGTGTTTTGGAATGGGATTTAAAAGTTGGGTCTATCTAACTATAATTGCTTCTCATGATCTATGTTATCTCTTAACCAGCGTATGCAAGCCAAAAGTAATCTTCTGTCAACACGCATTGACAATCAGACAGCCTCTGTGTTCCCCCTAGGAGCGTCTGC